TGTGTGTGTGTGTGTGTGTGTGTGTGTGTGTGTGTGTGTGTGTGTGTGTGTGTGTGTTGAGTAGAGGGGAAAAGGAGTAGTATGGGTTTGGCTTTATTTTTTTAGAGTAATGGAATAGATCTGTACTGAGCTTTCTCCCAGTAACTTAAAATGGAGCATTAGTGTGAAAGAGCACAAAACCTCTTGCTTTTCATGCTGAATGAGTTCACAATGGGTGTTAAATTGGGACTGGTTCACATTGGAGTTTTGCAAATTTAACATCATAGAGACAGCATTGGATTTGGAATTAGAAGACTGGTGTTTGAATCCTGATGCGTGTATTTAGCGACTGTGGGACTTTAGGCAAGTCATTTCTTCTAGGTTTTAGTTTCTTCATCTGTAAAATAAGGGAGTTGGTCAGTATGATTTCTACGTCCCTTTTATAGGTCTAATTTTTTCCCAATTGAAAAGAGAAGAAAACTGATTTTCTGTTTATTTGCTGCTTCTGAGAATTGAGTAGAAGATGATTAAAGATTTTGAGTTTCCCCCAACCCCTCTGTAAAATGCCTTTGGTTTACATCAGAATTCCAACAAGACCTGTTAATCTGTTATTTGATTTTTTTCTTTAAAAAAAATACCCTGATTATTGAAAGCCATTTATATAAACATTGTTCGATAGTTATAATAAAAAAATTAGGCTTTCTAAGGAATCATCAGACTCATAGATGTCGTTTCCTGATGTGACTTTTAAATATTCTTCATATTATGTATCTATAGGAAGATTTCATTTTGTTTTTCCTTCTGTAGTTGAGCAACAGAAACACAAACAAAAACTATCTAAACCAAAAAGAAAAAAAAATAACCCAAACAAGAAGCTAGAAGAATGTCCCTCCTCCCTCCAAACAAAAACAATAACAACAGCAAAGGCTGTTTTACTACAAGAGTCTTTAGCTACAGGAGTAGAACTTTGGGAGCTATAAACCTGTTTAAAATGCCATTAGATTTTTTTTTTGGCCAAATAAAGGTCAATGAAATGTATGAAAATGGTTGTTTCTCCCCCAGATTGGGTGTAAAGGTGGAAGGAGAAAGAGCAGCAAATTTGTTTACCTGATTACTTGACAAATTATGGTAGTGGCTCTCATTAGAAATAAGCTTTCTGTGTAATAGAATGGCTAGGTATTAAAAAGGTAGATCCTGAGGTGTTCTTTTAAAAAATATATAGCAATTGTGGTTTCTGGTTGTAGACCAAATTTACCAGAAGAACTAACCAATATGATGTGAAAGCTGGGTTTGGGGTTAGGGTCCTTCATAAACCACCCTGGGTGCCCCAAGAGGTCTTGGGCTACTTGCATTTGCTAAGGTTGACATGTCTTCTTAGTTGTGGATATTTGTATTGCCAGTCAACCTAAGGGAATTGACCCAGAGAACTGACCAGTCAGCTCAAAGAGTTGACTCAGGGAGATGTCTTCGTTGGTATTTTTTGTGTTCTCCTGTCCTAAGCTTGAGTGGATGACTTCCCAGTATCGATGTTCTTTTCAGAACTGCCAGAGAGCTGTAGGATTATCAGAGCCCAGGAGTTCCATTCTTAGAGCTGTTCCTCTTGATATGTTGTATACTTTTTAAAAATGTTGTTTAAATGTTTCTTCTCTACTACCTTCTTTTTTTGAGGGAAAGTCTGTGTCTGCCTTATTTTTAGTTTCTTTTATTCAAGCAAGATTATTCTGAAGAATTCTGAATGTTATCTGCCATAATTTTAAGAGAATAGAGTTTCAAAACAATATTTTTAGCTGAATGTTTTTTCTTTTCTCCTTCCTTCCTTCCCGCCTTCCTTCCTTCCTTCCTTCCTTCATTGATAGTAGGTGTTGTTTGGAAAAATGTTGAATGCCAAAATGCTTGGGATCTCTTTACCAGACTAATGATAACTGAATATGTTATAGAATGTAGACGATACCAGAAATGGGTCCTCAGTCAAGAAAAGCTTTGCTCCTCCTTAGAAAGCTGCATGTAAATGAAGTCAAAGAAAAGTTGTGTGGCCAAGTGGGAGACCAGTGGTGTGGCCAGTGATGCGGCAGGATGTTCCTGGTAGCAGCCAAATAGGAAGTTGGACTTCAGAAAGAGGGTGTTTTATATCTAGCCAACAACAGTCAGTATGGCTGAGCCTCTGTGGCTTCAGACTTCATCTCTGCTGAACTATTCTGTGTTGTGTATCTATTGTGTGCTTCTCCTGTATTGAAAAGCTTTGTACTGCCTCTCCTCTTTGAAACTGGTAAAGCCTTTCTATAAGTCTAAATTAATGAGCTTGCACAATCTTGTATACCTACAGGAATCTCGTCTTGTCTCTAATGTGATTATTAATGTATTATATCATTCTGTAAAACTGATTAAAAAAGGAGAGCAGTTTAACTCCCTGGATTTTGTTTCCATAATCATGTAGTTTGTCTTATAAGCATTGTTGAAAATTCTTTTTGACTTGTAAATATTACTGCTCTTCTTCATGAATTCACACTTAACTTTTCCATAAGAACACTTGAAAATATATGTCAAATGTTTTGGAAGAAGGGATTAGAGAGAGGCTACATGAGTATCATGGGAAAAAAGAACACTGACCTGGGAGTAAAAGAGACCCAACTTCTAGTCCTGGCTTTACCTCTAATTTTCCATAGGTGTTATTTTTGTAGCAGTTTAAAGTTTACAGAGCACAAGTAAAACAATTGTTATGGTCCCATGATCTCCATTTTATAAATGAGGAAATTGAACAAGGCTCAAGAAGGTTTAAGATTTGTCTTGTATCACACGGCTAGTAAGTAGATCAGATTCAGGTGACTTGTGACTCTAAATC